GCTGTGTGGGATGTTTCTATCCCCTAACAACATCTGTAGGATGTGTGCAGTCTGTGAGCATATTATTATTATATTATTATTATACAGTATTTATAAAGCGCCAATAGTTCGCTCAGCGCTGTACATTACAAAGGGGGACAGAACATGTGACAGAACAATAACAATACAATGCAAAACATGAGGGGATTGAGGGCCCTGCTCTTTTGAGCTTACAATCTAGGAGGGAGAGGATGGTGGCACAGGAGGAGATAGCTGTGGGGGATGGAGTGGTAGGTAGAGTGGAGGAGGTCGGCAAGTTAGCAGGGGGTGGGGTAAGCTTCCCTGAAGAGATGGGTTTTCAGGGTGCGCCTAAAGGAGAGGAGAGTAGGTGATAATCTGATGGGTTGGGGCAGGGAGTTCCAGAGGATGGGTGACACCCTGGAGAAGTCCTGGAGGCGGGCATGGGAGGAGGAGACCAGGGAACTAGAGAGAAGGAGGTCTTGTGAGGAGCGGAGTGTGCGTGTTGGGCGGTACTTGGATATTAGGTCGGTGATGTAGTTCGGGGCAGTATGGTGGACGGCTTTGTACGTCAGCGTTAGGATTTTGAATTTGATCCGTTGCGCAATCGGAAGCCAGTGGAGGGATTGGCAGAGGGGGGTGGCGGAGATGGGCGGTTGGAAAGGGGAATGAGTCTGGCAGCCGTATTCAGGATCGACTGAAGCGGGGATAGCCAGCGGCGAGGCAGGCCAGTGAGGAGGGAGTTGCAGTAGTCGAGTCGTGATATGATGAGGGAGTGGATGAGCTGTTTAGTGGTTTCTGGAGTTAGGAACGTGCGGATTTTGGCGATGTTGCGGAGGTGGAGTCTGCACGAGTTTTTTAAAGATTGGACTTGGGGCTGGAAGGATAGGTTGGAGTCCAGAATGACACCAAGTACTCTGGCCTGCGGGGCGGGTTTGATGGTAGCGTTGTTGGATGTGATAGAGAAGTCAATGGGGGGTGGTGTCCGGGCTGGGGGGGAAGAAAAACTCGGTTTTGGAGAGGTTCAGTTTAAGGAAGTGGAGCGACATCCAGTCTGATATGTCGCTCAGCAGGTGTGTGATTCGGGCGGAGACCGAGGGGGTGAGGTGGGGGGTTGAGAGATAGATTTGTGTGTCGTCGGCATAGAGCATATCCTATAATATGTCTTCAGTCTCCTGTAGAGTTAAATTTTACTGAAAATTATGTGTGACCCTTTGGGTAAAATTTCAATACCAAGAGCGGTAACCCCGAGCTACACTCGGGCTTACCATGCGGCATTGCTCAGGGAGTCCCTGCAGTATTTACCTTGTCCTTCGCTCCTGCGATGTGTCCCCTGCAGCGTCCCCGGCCATCTCCTCTGGCCGATGCCGGCATCCGGCTTCCGTGTTCCGGTCCCTGTGACGTCAGGACGTACGGGCGCCGAAACCGGCGGGAAATTTGAAATTTTTAAAAAATTTCATTTTTGCTGTCATTGCTGTTTCAATGCATTTCACATATATTTTGTCCCTACTGCTTTGTCCTGTTCCCTGCCTGCATTTTGACTGTTCTTTCTGCCTGGAAACTTAGAAAAGTCCATGGCGTCCAAAAAGCATCCCTTTACGTGAAAAGTGGTTTTAGAACAGCGATAGTAAATTAGAACCACATGCAGAATTGAGTGATAATGATTTGTGGGTAAATTCGTCATCAGACACTGAAAACGATTTTGCGACTTTGCTCAGCGATGTGTGCGAATTTGCCTCTGTATTTCAAATTTCAGTGTTTTTGGTTTGATTATATTATTGAATTAAATTTATTATTATATTATTATTTTTTATGATTATTTATTAACCCCTTCATGCCTAAGGGTAAAACAAATCTAAAGGCCTAAGCACAATTCTGCACCGTTGACATGTGATAGCAAAACCGTACATATCATCACAACTACTTTGCACATCCAGGTGGATTATACCTTGAATTTTTTCAGGACAAATTGGGCTTTCATTTGGTGGTAAATGGTAATGGATATCTCCTGATTTTTTTTTTATTATCAAAGGAAAACTGGCCAAAAATAGTAAAAAAAATCCTTTTTTTTTATTTAGCTATGTGTTTCTTGTTACAACCATAACCTACCACCAAAGAGCAACCCAAAATAAATTCTCCAGCTCTTGACGATCGCAGCGATACCATATATGTGTATGTTATTTGTTGTTTGTACCCGTAGTACAGCCCAGAAACCATAGTGCGCATTTTGTTTTTGTCTTTTTTTTTACCTAAAACACACTAACACTAACTGACACTGACATTAACACTAACTGACACTGATACCAATTTTTTTTTAAATCCTGACCTTTGACCCTGACCTAAACACTAACCCTGGCACTGAACTAGATCAAACCTTGATCTAGGTATTTTTTTTTTATTTTTTCATTTATTTTTTAATATTTATTTATTTATCTTTTTTTTTTATTTTTACAAACTTTTTTTTCTTCTCTCTGACAGGAGTTCGAGAGATACAATGTATCTCTCTTCTCCATTCATAGAGAGAGAGAGAGAAAAAAAAAAACAAGGGGGCCGGGCTGCACAGTGACTGATCACTGTGATAGCCAATCAGAGGCTATCACAGCGATCATGTGACCCGGGACCGGGAGTCCCGGGTCCCGATCGTTAGAACGGGACCCGGTGCTCTCAGTGACACTGCGGTCTCGGTGCTGGGAGCGCGCTGAGGGGCGCGCTCCCAACACAAAGACAGGTATGCAAATATGCGGCCCCACGGAAAAAAGCCCAGGTCCGTGAGGCCGCATATTTGTGTTACGTCGGCGTCAAGGGGTTAAATTATAATTTATGATTTAGTGTTTCAAGTTTTATCATATCCGGAATGTTTACTAGACTCTTGTTCGTACAGATTTCAGTGAGTTATTCCTAAAAATTACAGCCTACAATAAAAAACTACATATTTTCATGCAAAAAAATGGTACCGCTTTCAGCACAAAAAATCGGAAAGAATCATACCGCCAAGGAGGTTAACGGCTGCAGTTGAGGCCCCCTATATCTCATAATTTGAAAACCACTGTTTTACAGGCTGGTCTGAGTTCTGTTGAGCCCATTTTGACCTGTTTGTTTTTTGGGTCTGTTGATGTTTGTTTGCTGTGTTGCCCCAGACTGCTTTTGGATATCCATGGTAAAGAATAAAGTTTCTTGTTCCTGTACTGTGTGCCTAAGAAAAAATTATTTTTGAAAATAAAATCTGTTTCTTGGTGTGCCGTAGTGGACAAAGGTCATATGACTTTCCACTTGCTTGCTATAAAAACAAGGCTAGCTGGAAATGAAAAAGGGTTTAAAAGGGATGTCCCAACAGCTTTTTTTGCCAATGTGTTCCATACTGTACCTCAGAAAGCAGATTTTACTGGTAAGAATGAAAATCTATTTTGATGTGCCAGGAATGCACTCAGCTCCTGTTGTTGGTGGACAACACACTGCTTTTTTGTAAATTGAGTATTCTTGGCCCTGCCTAGTGTCTCTTGCTAACCTACTTAAGCCTGCCATAGACTGTTCTAATCTTGGCTGGTTGGGTACAACCAGCCTGCTGGATTTTACATGCGATTATTGCTAGCAGCTGTTAGTCAATGTTAATTATTATTATTATACAGTATTTATATAGCGCCAAAGGGTATGCTCAGCGCTGTACAGTAGCAAGGGGGACAGAACATGAGACAAGACAGTAACAAAACAGTACATGAGGGATTCAAGGGCCCTGCTCTTTCGAGCTTACAATCTAGGAGATTAATAATCACTCTCTTCTCCCAGTGGGTGCAGCTTTCCCTGATCCCCCTCTTCTCCACCTGCCAGGAGAACACAATGGCTCGGCGGGAGGGATCCTTCTGCCAGCACTATTTTTGTCGATGGGGGAATTGAGAAATTTGCATAGTCTATGGTCTGCCTTAATCACCCCAGCTTTCAGATCTCTGCAACATAAAAGCTAATTACGCTGTAGTCCAAAATAGGAACAAGGTGGACTCTTTGACAAAACACAGGAAGTGTGCGGAGGATACTAGTTCCTAAATATCTGACAAGATCAACAGATTTTCTTTCATACTCAAAAAATATAACAAAATGCTTCCAGTGGTACTGTATAATAAAAAATGGCAGCAAATAAGGGAAATTCATTTTAAGGTTTACATACACTTTAATAATCAGTCCTCAGAACTGAAAATGTATTCTATTTCAGACTACATTTTATTGTTTATAGTGACCATTGTTCTAACCAGAGATCTAAAGAAGAGTTGGCTATAATAGCTTATTGTGTTTTTGTTTTACTTTAATTTTGGACCAAAATGATTAGCTTTAGCAAGAGGATGTTGACTACTGAATGAACACCTTTTGAACAAATGTAACTACTATATGCCCTAGGCCTAGTACAATGTTATAGGCTGGATAGGAATCTTACACCATAGAAGACATAGTGGTAACCTGATTATGTCATAGCGAAGTTTTTAGATTGCAAATTATGTTGCTTTTTGTCATTTGAGCTTGTTAAAGCTCTAGTTCTCTTTAGTTCACCAACAGCTGTAATGTGATTACAATGTATGCAGTAGATTCCAAATGGTAGTATGGTAGATATTTTCTAAATGTATTATTTATGTAAATTGCACAAGGGAACGTTAAGCTTTAAAAGAAAAACAAAACACATTATATTGTAAGTGATAAGAACCTCTAATTTGAAAAAAAATATTCTGTGAAAGTAGCTACTGTGCAAATATATAACGTTCATTCACATGTACAGATATGTTAGGAAGAGGAAAGCAGCAAAGTAAGAGGTTTTTTTTTTTTCTTTGAATTTATTAGACAGTAAATCAGTTGAACATATGAAAAAAGATCTCATTACTAGAATACTTATTTCAAATATTTTTTGATAATATAATTTTCTGAAATTGTCTTGAAATTATTATAAATCAGAACTTTTGGTAAAATACCACAAATGTATGACACAACAATAATATAATTTAAATCTTGTACATTTCTTGTAGATTGATCTACAGACATTTCTTACACTGACAGATCAAGATTTAAAAGAACTTGGAATAACGACGTTTGGTGCAAGAAGGAAAATGTTGCTGGCTATCTCAGGTATAAAATTAAATGGCATAAATTAGATCGCATCCTGTCCATTATATAGATATGAACAAGAGGTATAAATTGCGCAAGAAATAAAATAATCTATCTTTTCATTTTGTGTGCATTTTTGTTATTTTATTTTATTTTGTTACAATGCCATCACCTGTCCATTTGCCAGTGACCTTGGTTAATGATTTCTTAAGTGTAATGTAATCTTCTGTGTTCATTCAGATTGATCATTTCATGATGGACTTAAGAAATTGGTGTCAAACATTTGGCAAACCACTACTATAATTTTTTACAGCTAATCTCTATTGAGTGACACATCTGATAAAGGTCATCTCACTTGTTCTTTCATTTACATTATCTTTCTATTAGGCCACCTCTACCGATATCAGATGTAATTGTCCTTATTTCATTAAATACCACTAGGTAAAGCGGTCGTCTTTTTTTTTTTTTTTTTACCTGTGCTGCATAAGGTGTCCTTAAATAAATTCTGTAAATACTGGTTTATTGACAGAAAGATTGTCATGACAACTGAATTTGGTGAATGTGAAAATCCATACAAATCCAATATTTCTAGATTACTTTCTATGATGTTCTGGCTCCTTAGAATGTGATTTCTAGACAAGCAACCATCAAGGGCTTAACTCTGCCTTTAAAGCTCACCCATTTTCTGTAATTCAAATATAGCTGGCCCATAACTGTAGGTGTCTGTAAATCCCAAAACCACTTTAAAACTGCCCTGTAGTGTCTAGGAAGTCCATCTAATCTGATATGCAGATTTCAGTCAATTGCACAGTTTGAGAACAGCCACACCCGGCCCCATGGCCTGCCTTAGAAAATTTCATTGAGAGATGTAGGGTGGTTGTCTTGCTGTCTCCAACTACCAGGAAGTCACTTTTAATGTCAGATTTGAGGGCTCTCATGACTCTTTGTGGCAGGCTTAAAGCAGTTGTTATGTGGTCCCATCATTTGATGCTCAAAATGTGTACATTACATTTCTTGCATGAGTAGACCTAATATTTAAAGCCCAAAACCAGTTGCATGTCTTTCTGACTACATATTAATTTCTGAATCTTATTCATAGTCTATCTTATCTAGTTTCATGTTACAGTAATTACTCTAAATACAACTGTGCAAACCATTAGGCACCAATATGACTTAAACCCAGTGCACTTCGTAATCAGCACTTCGTAACAGTACTAGTAGAAAACATTCTCTGTCTGTCATCTTCCTGCAATGCGAGCCTATGAGTACACTTGTAATGAGGGCTATGGCTGTGACTTGGCTACGCTAGCTGAGTGCATTGGAAGGCAGAAAGCAAGATTTTCACTGAGAGCAAATCTTTAAGGCATTTCAAAGAAAAGAATCAGTGATGTATCATAACAGTCCAAGACTAGAAAGAGATAAAAATGTGTGGTACTTCATTTAGGCTTTAATCACCTGGAAAATAACCAGGCAGATTTGGAAAGTGAGATGTTTGGTAGAAATAAAGCTAATCTGTATGGTTTTATTTTGTAACAGAACTGAACAAAAATCGAAGAAAGTTGTTTGAGCCAACCAATATTCGTTCTGCATTCCTGGAAGGAGGAGCTAGTGGAAGACTTCCGCGCCAGTATCACACAGACATAGCCAGTGTCAGTGGTCGCTGGTAGCAGTCAGTGACATGACTTGACAATAAGTGCATAGAACATCATGGCTGACCTGTGAACCAGCATTGCTGCATATAACGTTTACCATCAGCACTTTAGTGTCAAGGTACCACGGACCAAAGCAATGAGATCACATGAGTGCCTGATCTATTGGACACTTGTTTATAATGCCAAAATGTGGGATATATATTTCATTCATCTATCTAGACTGGACCGAATTGCAATAGGGGAAAAAAAGAAAAAAAAATTAATGATTTTATGTTTTAGTATTTTATGTATAACTTCATTGTATGCACTGAAATTTTTACCTTTCTTGAATGAAGCATTAATCTGATATTCGAGGGCATGACTTAATGGTTTTATTGTGAAGGAATTTTCTAGTATTCAATAATAATCAAGACTTTTCTGCACTTTACATGCTCCCCATATTGTCTCCTGTGGAAATTACATGTCCTCTCCCTTCAACACAAAACACGCTGAGGTCTGGTTTATAAAAGAAAAAAGTTGCTGCAAATAGCAACTCTATTTCCTGATTGATTTTCTTAGTGTAGGTCAGAAAGCTTAAATATGATTGGTTGCAGCGAGCAACTGCCCTGGTTTTCATTTCTTCCAGTCTTTATAAACAAGACCCAGTTTGTGCTCTCTAATAAAGTCATACCCTGATGCATATACAGTAGCTACTATTTCATCATCTGTAAGTATTGTAAAGTATTTGAACTATGCAGATGTTATGCTGGAAACTGGGAACCATTTACAGGAATCTTATTACTGCTAGATAAGATTTTTTTATGTTTAATTCTGTTATTTAATATTTTACGAACGCTTACAATGAAACAAGTTCACTGTAACAGATGAAAAGACCAGTGTGGACTTTGTAGTTAGTTTTCCTTTGCACTTCTCCCCATAACATCAAAGAAGAATAAAAAGCAGGAGATGAAATATGCAAAATATTACATTTATTTATATACATTACATGGTTATATCCATCTCTTTATCTACAAGCTGGTTAATTCTTCTGTCATTCTTAGAGTCAGGACTTAGTACTTCATAGGCCTCAAATTTCATGAACAATACAAACAGCTGTGCCGGTTGACATGTTGGCTGTATGTTGGGGACAAATACACTTCACATATTGATAATCAAAGGTGAATTCTGTTCATTGAAATATAACTTCATGTATCAGATGCATCTGTTGTTGTGGTCAATGTTATACTGTGAAAAATAAGTATGAAGTGTTTAAGTTATGCTAAATGCCACAATGGGAGAGTATGAAGGCATGCATATGGCAGTCTGGTTAGCATGTGACTGTGTTTTCTGCAATTTAAGCCCTTTGTAGAGCACATATAACAATATGCTTCGGGAGCTTTGAGGCACGCTGTGCGTTCCTGACTTTATAGTGCACTAAGCATACAGTGACCTAAATATAAATGAAACAGTGCATTGTCTGCAGTGAGAGAACCATATGTTGAACACAGCCATATGGTAACGAAACTGACACACATGTATGTCCATTCCCAGAAGACTTGGCTACACAAGCACATTTTGGTTGCGCTATTAAAAATTGTCTATGAAGGTCTACAGGATAAGCTACACCGGAGTGAAGACCTTCAATTAATCATGCATGCGCATGCAGTAAAACAAATCCTACATTTTCAGATTGCAATACCTGCGCAGTTCCATTGCTATGTGTTATTCGTAGCAGTTGATCAGAGCCTTTTTCCAACTGCACAGTGGCGCTACTGAAAAACTCTCATGTAGCCAAGTTGTAAAGGTGTGACTTGAACCTTAGAAAATATCACGCGTTGCCTTGTTTTTATTCTGTGTCGCCAGAAGAAGTTATCTGATTACTTTTCCATTTTCCAACTATAGATTTGCATGTACTCCTAAAATGTGTTTCTGAAGTCTGGTCACCTGTCTTGTTTACAACTAGGAAATAATAAGGCACAGCAGAGCTGGTGTATAGAATTTGGAGGAGAGGAAGTGAATAAGTGTTCATATTAACTAATCACTGGCTTGGTTGATGTGGACAGCACCTCCATTCCCCTTTTATTTTACATTAAATGCTCATTTCCAAGCATCTAACAGCAGGGAGACCTTCTACCTGCACAGATGCCTCATCTTTGTCACCATAAGAATCTAAAAGCATGGCATGGTGAACAGCTATTCTTTAATGCTCATTAAACTTTTTGCTTTCCTGGTTAAATTGCCACACAGCTATTTGCACACAAAGGGAATGATTGTTTTTGAGGTATCTTTATAAATAAATATATATGTTTTCATGTGCTGCACCAATTTACATGTGTGGGCATAAACAATGCAGCTCTAAAATTAGCTATATTGATTTGTAATAATTCACTATCTTTTGAATGGTGGTTTGGGAGCTTTGCACACTATATTGATAAACCACTTTCTTTTTTTTTTTTTTTCATGGATTTGTGGTGTTACATACTAGTAAGACATTTAATGCCACACAGTTTTCATATTTGAACCCCACATTTTTTTAAACACACCTGGGTACTACGACTTTTATATAAATTTTTATAAATTCTTTCCTTCTATGTAGTAAGTTTAGATTGTGTTTGACTTGTTTTTTGATTATAGTTTTAAATGACAGGGTGTGGCACAGGAATATTTTTTTAATCATCACAAAGGTACTGCAAGAGTAATCAGAAGACTTTATATGTACTATAAATACATATTCTAAAGAATTTTTTCATTCTTTTTTGTTTTATATCCTATAACAGGACGACACAAAATGACATTGTTGTTAGTAAGTGCATTGCACATACAAATGAAGTTGACAAATTCCAATATTTGTTATTTTTACATTGTGCCTTGAGAATGACAAGTTATCTGTAAATGTAGAGCAGATACAGATTGTATTTCATTTCGGGGGCAATAAGTTGTTTTGTTTTTTTTTTTTTGGTTGTTTTTTTTTTTTTTTTTTTTTACTTTTTTAATTAAATGTTGAATGAGACCATTAAATGGAATTTTAACTAATCATGTGTTATGTTCAAGAAAATAAATTTATAACCCCCAATTTTGTGTTTGATTTAATTTTATTGCTTTGATCCATTATGTGACTATATACACTTAATAGACTTCTGAAGCTTTCCTTATATAGCTTTTAAGGTCATGTAGTAGTGATAGATGACTCAGGGTAAGTGATATGTTGGTAGTCTACAGGCTGCTGCATAAACTAATTACCTGCAACCACCCTATCAGAGCATTTCTTATTTACGTGGAAACTAAAGAGCTCACATTGCAATAAAAAAAAAAAAAGCTTATGGGATTTTTTTTTTTTCTCTAAACAATTTTTAAATTGTTTTATTGCAAGGCTTTCCATGCAGAAAAATAATTTTGCTCTCCACCGCAGTAGTTACAGCACCGAAAATTAAATTTTTCCATATACGTTCTAAAATTGTTTGACTGCCTACTTGTGGTGCTATGTACGACAAGATATTTTAAGTTGTTTAATATATTGGGTTTAGAGTAGCTTTTTTTGCATAGGGGTTGAATTACTAAAGAAAATAAACTGTACACTTTGCAAGTGCAGTTGCACTAATTTTCCCCAGGACTTAGTGAATGTAGTAAAGATCTGATTTCCATCACCCAATCATGTGCAAGCAAAAATGCTGCTTTTTTTTTTCCTTTCATCAGATTGGGTATTCTTTACAAGATTAAGCTTCACTACATTCACTAAGCTCTGGGGGGAAAATGAGTACAACTGCACTTGCAAAGTGCACAGTCTGTTTTCCCTTAGTAACTCAACCCCATAGCCAATGGCAATGGTGGTTTCTGCTGCTTTAGGATGACAATGTTTATTGCTCCTAACCTGCATAACTTCTTAACAACCAGCATCATGATTGTCTATAGTGACTTCCTCTGATGCTTAGCAAATCCTAGTGATATTAAATCTTCCATAATATATGACATTTGCTAAGGTTAAGACTTGTCTTACATATGCTCCTTTTTTGTTGTCCAAAAGTTCTTCAAGGTGACTTTCTTCCCTTAAAGGGTCCTAGGGAGCCACTCTTGCAAGTGCACTCCCATTAGGGACCAGTGCTGAATAGACGTGCATCCATTCCAACACACAATTGCTCCCCCCCTCCAAGCTGAATGGTTGCTGGCACATGTGCTGCTCCTTGCTACCCAGTAGTGCTTGCTCTTACCCCTGTACTGAGGAACCCAGAGCCAGCGGCAGTGACTAGAGACTATAGTAAATGTTCGTGCCCTATACCATGCGTATCAGCTATAATGCTTACTAAACTGCTCAGTATGCATTGATCCAAAAAAGAAATGTTTACTATTATTTTAAAGCCTGGTAAAATCTCAAATTGTCTTTTTGTTGCACATTTCTTGACCCTGCTGCTACATTTACCGTATTTTCCGGCGTATAAGATGACTTTTTAACCCCTGGAAATCTTCTACAAAGTCGGGGGTCGTCTTATACGCCGGGTGTTGTGCTGAAACCTTACCTGTACTTCCGAGCTGACGCTTCTGCGCATGTCTTCGGCAGCAGTAGACGATCGCTGATCACCATTCCTCGCAGAACTGCATGAGACGTCGGATGCAGCCGTTCAGTGCTCGATTGAGCTTGACTGAAACTGTGACATGTGCAGAAGCGTCTTCTTGCCGCTACCCGATGTGTATCCCTTCTCTGCATATCACAGTTTCAGTCAAGCTCAATCGAGCACTGAACGGCTGCATCCGACGTCTCATGCAGTTCTGTGAGGAATGGTGATCAGCGATCGTCTACTGCTGCCGAAGACATGTGCAGAAGCGTCAGCTAGGCAGTACCTTGCAGGAAATACGGTAATTAACATTAATTATTATATATTAATAACTGTGGCAGTTCTCAGATCATCTTGGAGACAGGGAGGGCTGGGCAGGCAGGGAGAGCTGACCCACCCAATCCAAGCAGCTTTGTATGCAGTGTGCACAGAAAATACTGGTACATCGCTTGCCGTGATTGGTTGGTAGAGGGGGGTAGTCTTATACGG